GCCCCACCAACAGTGGATGAGTGTTCCCCTTTCCTCATATCCCCTCCATCATTTGGTATCATTTGTTTTCTTAATCTTAGCCAGTCTTACTGGGGTAAGGTGAAATCTTAAAGTGGTTTTAATTTGCATTTCCCTGATTATTAGTGATGTTGAACATCTTTTAAGTTGTTTCATAGCCATCTTTACTTTTTCTTTTGAAAACTTTCTGTTCAGCTCCTTAGCCCATCTTTCAATTGGGTTGCTTCTTGTCTTGGTTCTCTGTTTTTTATTCTCTTACATTTAAAAATTTCAAAATGGGGGTTAGAGAGCTAGCTCAGCAGTTAAAGCTCTTATTACTTTTAAAGAGGACCTGAGTTTGATTCCCAGTACCCATGTCAGGCAGCTCATAACTGCCTGTAACTCCAGCTCCAGGGGATGTGATGCCATCTTCTGGCCTCTGCAGGTACTGCACTCACATACACATATACACATACACCCCCCACATACACATAAATAAAAATATAACAATCTTTAAAACAACTTCAAAGCATCATCATGTAAACCCCAAATAAACAAACTTTTCATTATGCATTTCTTTGATTATTTTACCAATAATGATTAAACACCTAATATTTTTAAGCTCTGGGATAGCTGCTTAGGCTATATCATTGAGGACACAAAGACTGCCTCTCCATGGAGTCTCTGTTCTGTGGTTGGAATTGGGGCACAGGCATTAAGCAGTAATTAAAATAAATAAGCTAATTGCATGGCACATTAGCAGTTGCTTTGTGCATGGAAAATAAAAACGAAGTGTAGATGTGTTCGTTACTTTTCTGCCGCCTTGTCTGATTCTCTGATTTCACTATTGAGAATGACACTACGCTAAACATGAGTGTGTGGATATCTCTATCATATGTTGACTTCAATTCCTTCAGGTACATAGCTAAGACTGGTATAACAATATCACATGGTATTTCTATAATTAGTTTTTAATGGACCTCTGTATGGATTTCCATAGTGTCTGTATTAAGTTACATTCTCACCAGTATATAAGGATTCTGTCCCCCTCCTTGCCTTCTTTCCTTCTTCTTCCCTTGAACCCTTTCTCCCTTCCTTTCCCTTTCCTTCTTTCTCTTTTCCCTCTTTCCTTACTTTCACCTCCCTCCCTCCTTCCCTCCCTCCCTCCCTCCTTCTTCCCTCCTTCCTCCCTCCTTCCTCCCTCCTTCCTTCCTTCCTCCTTCCTTCCTTCCTCCTTCCTTCCCTTCCTTCCTCCC